GAAATCCAAAATCATAGGTATGTAGATCCCAAAAATCCAAATTCAACAACACAAAGATCACCCGAGTCCGACATCGTTTACCCCTTCATCTTAACACTCAAAGTTGGAACCGATTTCGATCGTCCGATCGAAGCCATTTTGATCATAAACTTCATTTCACATCAAATTAGAAATCCAAGACTATGGGTATGTATAGCTCAAAAATCCAAACCCAATGACACCAAGATCACCCAAATCCGRCACCATTTACCCTTCATCTTAACATCCAAAGTTGGAACCAATTATGATCATCCAATCGGGGTCATTTTGATCTTAAACCTCATTTTACATCAAATCAGAAATCCAAAACCATAGGTACATAGAGCCCAAAAATCTAAATCTGACGACACTAAGATCCTCCAAATCCAACACCATTTATCCCTTCATCTTAACACCCGAAGCTGGAACCAATTCCAATCGTTCGATCGTGGTCATTTTTATCCTGAACCTCATTTCACGTCAAATCAGAAATCCAAAATTATAGGCATATAGAGCCCGAAAATCTAAATCCAATGACACCAAAATCACCTAAATCCAATACTGTTTATCCCTTTATCTCAAGACTCGAAGCCGAAACCAGTTTCAATTGTCTGATCAGGATCATTTTTTATCCTAAACCCTATTCCATATGAAATCTGAAATCCAACCTTGTAGATGGATATAATTCAAAATTTTGAGTCCAATGTATATAATTCCGACACCATTAACCCCTCCATCTTGAGACTTGAAGCTAGACTCAATCCAAGCCTTCCGTTTGAAATCCTCTTCACTACAACTTCGAACCTAGGGCATCCCACGACCAAACATTTCTCCTATCCTCTAGAACCATCTTAGAATCCAATATTTGACTAGATATGAACCTCCAATCAATCAATCCAATCACCTAAATTTGTAATGTCCAATTTAAGTAAATTGGTGAAACATTCCACTCATTATCTTGATTGATTGAGATCCCAAAATTGTCTTGACAGTCCATTCTCTCAAGCAATGCCCCTCCAAAAGCCCTTTAAACATCACCCATTGATCTCCCTTGTCTCTTATCTCGTCCCTCCATTCCCCTCTCAAAAAATCTATAAATACCCCCCCCCCCTTTCCACACTCAAGACATACAATTTAGCTTAGGGAGAGAACTTTACCCCATTAGTCTAGAGAATATCCCCTTTCACGTCTCAAGCAGATCTAGCCTTCATCCCCTCGCGTCCAAGGCCTTTCCCACTCACTCTCCAACATCCCTATACTCCCCTCATTCCGGTATTATAGTCAAAGAACCACCAAGTTGTGTTTATGTCCATGAGTGAAGCATGAAGTGTTGTCGAAGTAACGATAGTATAGCAGAGAAGCAAACACATCCAGCATCATCCCTCACCATTTAGGCAACATACTGCGATTAAAAGATCGACCCAGGGCTCTCCATCAAAGTGTCTTAGGGCAGAATATGTCGTTGGGGTCGTGTAATGCTCCATCGAAAGAAATGCAACCAGTTTAATGGAATTTTTTTCAGACACTCAGCAATTTTTTCAGACCATGGGCTACATTTTTAGTAATGTTGATAATAAATCCTCACTTAGTCCCTGCATATATGGTTATAGTTGTTTCCGTATGAYTCTAGTCGTTTTGGTATGTTGATTTGCTCCATTTACTAGTTTAATTTCCAGCTTAAATCATGAGCTAGTTTCTTATTTTTTTTGTTTGTTCTACGAACCAATTCTTTATTTGATTAGCATGCTTTTGTTAATTAGTTGTCATTTCTTTTGAAGTAGTCGATTAGGCTTAAACCAATGGCATTCTAAAGATGAACAGTGTTTTTGCCAGTTTCCTATCTTATTTCACCTAACATATGCAGCATCATTTTATTACTATTTGATTAGAATAGAAATCAGTCTACTCATTCTCTTACTCGGCACCCAAAAGATCATTCACTAGCATTTCATCTTATTATTGCATACATCTTTTATAGATCCGTGTCTAGGTATTGTAGTCATGTAGTTCAAATACAAAAGGGGTCCATTTTAATTTAAAATTTCAAGGTTTTCAGCCCCACCATTTCAATTATTCCCTTCAGAGCTTTAATTCTTGGTCATTACACCCTTTACCACTTAGTTGCATATTTTAATATCTCTTAATATGGTCATCCTTCATTCAAGTCATATACATCTTAGCTCCCAAGAGAACATCATTTGATAGGAATAAGTCCTAATAGCCAGTTTAGTATCCCCTAGAACACCTAAGCCATTTTGACGGTAAAAAAGCTGTTAACATGGTTCTAGCTTAATCTTCACATTAACCTGCCCCATGTTCTGCATCATCGTATCAAAATAGTTTCACCTTTAGTGTATCAATCAAGTACAATTAAACATCATACACCATAGGAAAATAGTGTATGCATCAACCAAAAATAACTTTCCTTTCCAAAAAAGAAAAATATCCACAACACTCATTTACATAATCATCTAGGATTCATTAATTCCAATTCTTCTATTTCCCTTCAGTTATATTTTGTTAGTTAKCTTACTTTGGTGAAGTAGAGGTCGGTTTAACTGGGCACGTGTGGGGTGCCTAACACCTTCCCACACTGTACCTTGGTCCCTGGATCCTAAGAATCTCATCTCCATTGGGCAACGAGTCACCAAGAAAACCAAAATGTTTTTCTTGCAAAAATCCCGAGTTTTCCTAAATTCCCAATTCATAAAAATTTAGATGGAGACTCCATCCACTCCATRTACCATCATTGTCCCCCCTCTAAGTCGAGTAGCCACAAGGGCTATTATTGGCACGAGAAATGGGAGSAAAGAAAATCAGTGTATGGGGACTCAACCTTGGTGATTCAACAATCAAATGGAGAAATGGGAATGAAGGGTATCACACTATTACCTTACTGGCCACTCATAAATAAACTCTACTACGATTTAGCTGTTAGTTTTCAGCACATCAATAGAACCAAAAATAAATATGCTAATTCACTAGCAACATTAAGGTTGTGTCATAGTTTTTAAGGCGCCCAGGGGGGCACCTAGTCGCCTAGTTGCCTAGGTGGGCAGCCTAAGCGTTGCCTAGGCGATGAATTTTTTTATGTTAAAAAATAGATCCTAGGATAGTTCCGTAGATACCATAACAATATTTCTTTAATAATTATTCATGGTTTTCTTAAAAAAAGTATAAATTTCATATTAGAGTATAGAAAATCAACATATTCATGAGAAAAATGAAGAAGGAAAATAAATTTCAAAAAATATAGGGACTGAACCATTATTTTTGTTATAGGAAAAGAAGAAAATAAAAAGTATTGGTAGTAGTAGAAGAAGAATATATGGAAGAGGAAAATGTGCTGATTAGATAAAATTTTTAGTTCTTCCTTATTGGTTCAGGTTTTTAAGTCTTTGAGGGTTCAATACAGCATTTAGCAATGTTTGTATTGATTAAACCCTAATAAATAAGAAAATAATAAAAAGAAATTAGTATATAAACACACAAAATGATTATTTTAGTTTAATAATGTCTATTTTATAATTATAATCTCAAAAAAATTATGAATAAAAAAGTATTTTATAGTAGGGAGTAGAAAACTGTTAGGCAATTGGGCGAGGCGAGCCTCAAAGGGTGCCTTGTCGCCTAGGCGTTGGTCGCCTTGGCAACTATGGGTTGTGTATACAGTTTCAGGACAAAAGAAAGCATTATGGTGCAAAAGCTAGAAGAATCCACCCTAGAGGTGCTAGAACATTTTGTGGAGCACACAGATAGCATAACTGAGGAAGACTGAAGATACAATATTATACAGAAGCTACAAAACCCTCTGAAATCAATAGAAGACAATCACTTCCTTACAAAATTCTAAATATTGGGAAATGTCTTATATCATAAGATGGCAGATGGAGTGGGAGCAAGATGTTTGGGGGCTGAATAAAGTAAAAGAGTCCTAGAAGAGGGYCATAAGTAGGTCTATGGAAATCAGATGATCACCTTATACAAAAAACTATAGAGACTGGGTTATTATTGGCCATAAATGAGGAAACAGGCAAAGGAAATGTAGGAGGAATGCCAAGATTGCCTACCAATGATCGATAAGCAAAAGTGCTTAAATATGTCAGAAGTAGATTGGAGGCAGCCATATAGAGATTACCTAAAAGATGGAAAATTACCCGCAGATGCCAAAACTGTTGTGCAGATGCGGCCATGTAGAGAGAGAGAGAGAGGCAGTTTGGTATACACACCATCCATCCATGAGATTGAGTCAATTTATAAAAAAGTTGGAAGTCTTTACCCTATCTTTTTTTCCTATTTTGTTGTAGATGAAATTGCTTTTGTATCCACATTCTACTTTCTTGTAAATAGTCATCTGCTGAGAAAAGATGAATAGCCTGCCAATGTTGATTGTCCAAATAAGAAAGTTTGGGCCCAGTAAAACATTTCAGACAATGATTTTTACCGCATGTAGTTCATCTTTTCTAGGGTATTTCTGGCCATAGCCATAGGCAAGTAGTGTCGACCTCATCATTACTCTCTTCATAACTTGACAAAGTGATAAGCTGAACTTAACACTAGGAGATGCTTTATTGAAGTCACTTAAAACAACTGCCCCTTTCACTCATTCACCAAGGAACCAAACACAACCATCCCGTATTTCTAAAACAACCCAGTAGATGAGTTTCCATCGACTCCAGGAAATCAGTATCCCAAAATCAGGATTCTACTGGCCAGCACCCACATGACTAGGTGAATGTTAAAAGATATTCTACTCTTTTCTAAGAAGACTCCCAATTTGCTCTAATTTCACTCTGGAATTTGTAACCCATTGATTCCAGGGAACAAATACCCCTAGATCAACCTTCCATTGTCTAGCCTCCCCATGTTTGGGGATGTAGATGTTGTCTAACAATCCAAATATTCTCCCAAGTCCTCTCAGGAGATTATGCTCCTGCAGATATATCRTGTACCTAAAAGTGCCAGTCACAGCAAATGGCTTGCACCATCAATAATGACTGGACATAACTCCAAATTATAAACTTGGCCATCGTTAATCATTCCTTACGAACACCCCCTTCCTCATACAACCCCTCCCCTACTAAGAAGGAAACGAACAAGTTAAACAAAGAGAAGAAAAAAAAAATAAGTAAAGAAACCACCACATATATTATTTTTGAATCTCATCCTATTATAAAACACTATCTCAGATAATTCTGACCATGAAAGACTCCAGCATATTCCTACATTTATGAGGACTCRGCATCACCTGAAAATTTGACATCAATTTTTAGTGATGGTAAAAAATAACAGATTGGATGAATTGGAAACATACATATCAGAGAAGGTAAATGGGAAAATGGAAACTTACCTACCAACTATTTCCTGAGGTAGGCAAGAGCTACTGCAATCTTTGCACCAACAAACGCATTGTGCTTCACAAGTGCTATGTCTATGACCAAGTTAAGGTCTTTCCAAGTAAAAGTAAGATTACAAAGTAGTAAAGAAGAAAATATATAGATATTTTCATGTATKCAGTCTCCTGTTGTAGTCCTTTCTGTGCTGTCTACATTGTCCAATATGAAAATCTAATAGATAGGCTCATAAAACGTGGCAACCAGAATCATATAATATGCACAAATACCATAATATATTTTCATACTGGGAGATAGGATACTTGCAGCCAGTGAGGCTCCTCCAGTTAGTTCATTCACTCTTGCAAGCAGGAAAGGTGTTTCAGCATTGCCTGTCACATTGTTATCTCTGCATTTCCACATACAGTTTAGTACAAAAGAAGAAAACTAGAAGTATTACATGGAAGAAAAAGATGGAAATAGTCTGAACCTTGCTTCTTTAAGGGCCTTCTGTATTGCGATCTCAATCAGACTTCCTGAGGCAGCATGCTCTTTTGGAATTGGCACGGCAATCAAAATACCACTTCCCAGACCGAGTTTCAAGTTTGCATCTGCAATGAGAAAGAAAGCAACAAGAACAACAATAATGACAACGAAAAATAATTAAGGTACTAAAACGATTCATGAAATAGACGGATTTGTATTCCACTTGCCTATGAGTCGAGCACAGTCCTCTGGGCTGTTCACCCGACAAGGCACCTAAATTCACCATTAATGTCAATATCAATCCCTTTTGCTATATCAATAAATAGAAAATGGACTTGCCAACTTCCTGATTAGAATGTCAAAAAGAAGTAATCTGAAAAAAGATRTATCTTTGAAACAAAATTTTCAAATATTTATCATGGTTTCAAATGAAAATAGTGGCCTAAATCCAAAGYATTATAAAGAAGACTTGTCAAGTGAGAAAAAATAATAAAGCTGATCTGAATCAATAGGATTGATGCAAAGAAAGAAGAAGAGAGAACAGAATAGAGGGGAAGGGAAGAAAGAAGAGGAAAGAATATGGAGAAAGCAAAAAGTTGTGCTTACACCTCCTTCACCTGTATATATGTCAATAAGCTAAAAGAAATGCACATTGACCAACCTACCCTGTGACTTCGTAAATGAATAAAAACATAAAACAGAAGATGTAACCCCATGTAAATAGATAAATAATGGAAAAATAAATACATAAACATCTCCTCAATACTCCTCAAGTTGGGAATAGATATTGATCATTCCCAACTTGTGTAAATCTGTTTTTAGGTTGGATTTTATGGCACAAATAATAATGACRTCAGCCAGCAGCAGGTAGGAAGAAACGCAATGCAATTACACCTCATCAGATATAATTCTTTCTCAAATAAAATGCCGTTCAACCTCAATATGTTTAGTTTACCATGCTGTATAGAGTTATGTGCAATGTTAATAGCAGCACGTTATAACATTACGACATCAATGGCTCCTCAAAATCAAGCCCCAATAATCCAAGTAATGATCCCAACCATAAAACTTTAGAAACACCATCCATAAATCTATATTCCACTTCAGCACTAGAATGAACAACAACATTTTGTTTTTTTTTTTTTTTTTTTTTTGATCTTCCAAGATACTAAATTGTCACCAATAGAGGTATGGTAATCTGATCTAGACAACCTATCATCAATACATCCAACCCAATATGCTTAACACCCAACTTCRTTATTTCCTTAAGGAGGTCAAGCACATATCCTTTCGGACAAAAAATGTCATGCTCCAACCTAGCAACCTAAATACCAAATAAATACCTCAACTATCCCAAATCCTTTATCACAAATTCCTTACTAAGAAGTTTCATCAAGGAAGCAACCTCTACTTCATCATTGCATGTCACTACAATGTCATCTGTGTAGCCATTTCTCTTACTAGAGTACGATCAACTTGTGACTGATTATATACAAATCTCAACAATACACCATGAAATTGTCAAACCATGCTTTTGGAACACTTTCAACCCATACAAAGCCTTCTTTAACCTACATACCCTCTTTCCTATCTCATAAAATCCTGGAAGTACCTCCACATAAACTTCCTCCTACAAGTCATCATTAAGGAAAAAATTTTTACATCCATCTAAAATAATGATCACAAAAATGGAGGCAAGAGATAAAAGAATTCTAATAAAATTCACCTTGGGCATTGGAGCAAAGGTTTCCATATAATCCACACCATAAGTCTAACCTATTGCCACCAATCTACCCTTACATCTTTCTACAATCTCATTGGCATTATACTTCACAGTAATCATCTATCTACATCACATTGACTCCTTCCCCTCTAACTAATYCACCATCTCCCAAGTATTAAATTTAAGAAGAGCATCAATGAAATAAGGTGAGAAATAGAGACACCTTTGGAGAAAGGGAGCAATAAAGAAGGTGAGATGGTGGAAGAGATGAAATAAAGGGAAATGATTTGAGAAAAATATATTAAAAAACAGTATAAAAAAGAAAGAAGTGAAGAGAAACGCAGATAGAGCTGAGGGAGGTGGAGAAGAGAGTGAGAGTTTACCTCTTGTTCACATTAATCAAGGCTGTTGTGGCTATGGTCAACATGATCATGACCAGAATGGTTTACGTTATGACAGTGAAAAGAGCAAAACCTGTAAAACACATAGTTTTCTAGGTGCCAAGGTGAATTTAGGCGACAAGGGAGTGCCTAGTCACCTAGTCCCCTAGGCGCCTTCCTAGGCATCGCTTAATGTTAAAAAAATGGCAGAACAAGGGGCTAAGCCCCTATTTTTGTTGTAGAAACATGAGTAAAAGGGATGGAGCCCTTGTTCTTGTCTTAGGAAAAGATACCACAAATAAAAACCTCAAAATGATAGAGAAGGGATGAAGCCCCTGCTTTGTTTTGCCCCTAATTTTTGTTCTAGAAGAAGAAGAATAGCACACCTTCTATGATTGTTGATTTACCTTGCTTCTTTAAAGACTTAGAACCCTAACAAAATGAATTGGTATCACTAGAACCCTGACGATGATCCTCATTTCTTCGATCTCCAAATAGCTATTAGACAAAATTAGAAACTAATAAAAAATATACTATTTAATGGAAGAAATAAAAGAATGACACCRTGTATCATGCTTATCTTAATATTATATACTCAAAATATAAAAAATATAAGAAACGTTATAAAACTTCATGAGTATATATATAAAATACATGGCGTTTGGGCGAGGCAAGCCCCAAAAAGTGCCTAGACGCTAGGTGTTGCCTTGACAATTATAGTAAAATGAAAGAAGAAGAGAGATGAAAAGCTTATGTGAGAGAGAGAGAGTTAGAGCAAAAGGAGGGGTTTCCCAAAGAAAGGAAAGTGAGGTTGGGTAAAATAGAGCTCTTTCTCTCTCTCATACTCGTTAGAAGATGAAACTCTCGGTCGTGTATGTGTGTGTGAGTGTGTATATATATATATATATATATATAGGTAGATGGATAGATATATATAGAAAAGATGCATGAAAGAATGAAAGAATAAATTAGAAGACAACAACCTAGTATAAATTCAATTGTTTCAAAGTTTCTTTAGGACCAGCTAATCACAAGACCAAAATGGCAATTACCGAATGTTGGTCCCAGCTATCTGAGATATCGAGAGGTTTGGAACAATTGCTCAATGGTAGTAGAATGAAAGAATAAATTAGTTGTAGTCTTGTTGACTACTTGGTATCACAGCACGATCTAGGGTTTCTCATGTGAGTCAAATCCAACCAACCACATGAGAATTGCCTAGGGCTGGAAGTTTAGAAAGATCATTCCTTTCAGCTGATTCTTGGAGGYTACCAGATGTTTTTAGCAGCTGTCCAAATATTGGAGAATGTTCTTGGTAATCAGGAAGAATCAGAGAAGGATAAAGGGATCAAGATTAGTTTTTTATCAAGATTGAAGGTGGCGATCAGAATTTCTAGGTAAGTTTTCATCTCTTCTTGAGGCCGGTAGCAGTTTTTTTTTTTATCAAGATTGAAGGTGGCAATCGGAATTTTCTGAGTAAGTTTTTCATCTCTTCTTGAGGCCGACAACAATAAGAGATAAGTTGGACTTCATCTTTTCATGAAGTAAGTTATTTTCTTGAGATCGATATTAAAAAAATCATCTTTGTTTAAGAAGAAAAACAGCCTTTTGTGAAGAAATGACTGTTTAGAAAGTTGCAAAAATTCAAAAGAAAGTAGCAGAAATCAGAGTTCAAGAGGARAGAAGAAGAAGAAGAAGAAGGTGGCGGCAACTTGGGTTCAGAGAGAGATTTTTTGCACATAATCTCTTCTCTTACTCCCTTAATTCTATTTCATTAAGTTAAACTTTAGTAATTTATAG